TGGCAGTCTGTGAGATTTACCTCACATACCACCGCTTATATAGCCCCAGGAAGAGACGAGGGAATTAATGACTGCTCCGTTCCTTCCAAACACATACAGACAAGGGACTATGCGTTCCATATCTGTTTATTTTGTGCTTGTCTCTGGTTATTAGAGCATCTTTTGACAGCAATATGCTCTTTACTTTGAAAAGAATAATATCACAAGAGAATAATTACTAATATTAACATTTGCAGTGTGATTAGAATCATTTGGCTTGATTTAGATGAGATTCAATAAAATTTTTAATAGAAGAAAGCAAACCCAGAAATGTTCTGTATTTGATCCTTAATGCAATTAGTACCAAATTATCTCTGAATTGACCCTAATTGTTCATGGTTTGGGGTCAGCCAGCTCAAACTTTTAATCAGAAGACATATCAAGGCAAAACAAATACATGCTATTTATCTAAATGTGGTTATAAATGTGGTTTAGAATTGACAACTAGGGAGGCAATGTAAATCTGGTTATTGACAATCGTCAGAATTCCTATAGTTTGCATGATATACAATCATCACATTATCCTCAAGGACATTTTGTAAATTGAGGTCAATTTCCAAATTGTTTTTCTTTATCCAATTCAGTTATTTTACCATTCTGCAATTAGGATGCACATTCAGAGCTAAGTAATCACCTTCCACATTTCACAGGTCATTGGATGGAGTCAGGTTCACATTTTGAGTAATGCAGAATATCTGTATAAGTATAAGAATAAGTGTTCATCAACATCAGCTTGCAGGTAGATTACCTTGTATTCTGCATCAGGCTTCTGAAAACGTGATGTTACTGCTTGATTCAACAGAGAATAGAAACACATCCTTAAACCCAGATTATGTTCCTGATCCTTTTCTTCTCAATACTTTTAACTGCAAAATAACGTAACTTCTTCCCAGCGCCAAACAATTCCATGCAAGTCTGAGGAGTTATTTCTGGCACGAACTCTCGAGAACCTTCGAAGTTGACATTTTTTTCAATGCAGATGAAGAATTCTCTTATGTTGCAGAATGAGAACTGCACAGTGACATAGACACTCCCTTTCTGCAATATACTGACACCAAGGGAGCTGTAAAACTACACTTATTTCAGTGATGTGTAAAACTATTTTTTGAGGCTAAAAGTAACCTTATTTTAACCTTTTCCAGTTACACTCCAGAGTAGATTTAATGCAGAAATAGTAAATGAGAGCTCTTTACATAATCCATAAGCAAGAAGTTAGGGAAACGTTATGCTTTTTTAAGTTCTCAAGCATATATTTAATTTTACATTTTCATTGATGCCTGTACTGACACAGTCAGTGCATGATTTGTGTATTTTTTTAACCTCCATGGTGACATACTCATGCAGGACCAGATGAAGGTAAAGCAGAATTCTCAAACTGCTCAATGTTGCTAAAGTATAACTCTTTTGATTATCTACCTATTTATTGAATTCAAAGAATTCTGGGAGTTGTAGGCCATCGACTTGGGGTGGGGCGGGGGTACGACTTGGGTTGGTGGAGTACGGGGGGAATAGTTAGAGATGTACCTCCAGGTCCTGGAGAGAGACTCGGAGGCTTGAAGACTGAGGCCTACCCGGGAGAGGAGTGAGGCGGACGGCCGCTGCTTCGCTTTCCGCCCCAGCTAATTAACAACATCAACTTACCTGACGCCTTCCTGGTCCCGTTCGCCCCCCTTTGGACCGGCGGGGGTTATCCCGGTCACCAATGAGGAGGCTGCCGCAATGCTGATCTGGCATGCTACACCTGTGCATGCCAGCTCACCCTTAAAGATGGCCACAAGACCGCATGGCGCTGGCACATGTACATGAGTGGGAGAACTATTTGCCAAGTATTAGCTGATTGAAAGCATATGGACGCAGGGGACCAAATGACAACTTCTGCCCCAAGACCTCCAGCCAAGCTGGTCCCATGCCTTGATGTTAACATGTCGGCCTCATGGCCTACCCTGGGCAAGGCCGCACCACCTATGCGCAGTCAGCCCTTCCGGCAATAGCTGCCACGCCTGGACTATTATTGCACTAACGATCAGCGGAAATATTTCGGCTGGCCCAGTCTCCATGCTTGGTGTAACAGAACTCCCCGTACTCCGACCGAGTACTTTCCGTTGATGGACGCTTCCTAGCCTGCGCCGAGGACCACAGGCAACGCACCGGACACCACAACCACCGCAGACTCCACAACCGCCGTAGCTTAACTGGAGTCTCGCCGTCTTCTGTCCACACTGGATCAGCTTCTGTCCTCCAGGACCGTGTGGGGAAGACCTCTCCTCCAGGAGAGCGTATCAGGAACAAGCTCTCAAAAGAGCTAAGTGATTAAAGCTCAAGGGAGTATGCAGAGCATAGCAATACCCAGTGTGAATATAGCTGTCCCCTCCAATCACGAGACAAGACTACGTGTTGAGGGTCAAGAAGATCTGTTTTACTTGGTACCAAAGGGCCTTCTTTTATGCAGGTTTTACAGATACAGTACCGCCCACAGGGTTTTGCAAAACAACCAATAAAGTACGTAGCATACAGTAAAACCACACCCATTCACTCCCACAAAATCCTCCCCTCTGCCTGTGATATAATTACGCAACACAATAGACTAAACTTAATTATCACAGGCAGGAAAATACAGTATTAAAAAACATATCACAGGGACCCCAAAACATGCAATAACCCCATAAAATATATCCTCGGAACCGGGGGATCTGAGTGATCCACATATCCAAAATTCACCCAGATCCGTTCAGTAGTTTGGAAGATACGGTTTAATGCAGATTCCGCAGAACATATACAGGCTATATGAAAAATAATTACCGTTAAATGTGTCCCCTGTTCTGTAGTTTAAAACTACTGAACGATGTCTTTGTGCACCAAATACCGGCAAGATGGCACCATGTAGAAAAGTCAAAACAGTGTCTGTGAGTTACATATAGTTACATAGTTACATAGCTGAAAAGAGACTTGCGTCCATCAAGTTCAGCCTTCCTAGTTAAAATGGCTGCCATCCATTGTTCTCACCATGTGCTTCATCCATTGTTCTCACATGTGCCTCTGATACATGAAATGGTGGCCACCCAGTAACTCCACAGTTTGTCTGATAGTCTATCCAGCCGAACCAACAGATGAAACACATAAGGACTACTATCTCGCGGCACAATTGACGCAGATAGCCATGTGGCACTCCCCACTGGAAGAGAGAAGGTGGGTAGAAATTCAGTCCATGATGGTGGGAGTTGACGTCCCCCAGTTTACGATATGGGTCCCCAAGGAACACAGACCTGCAAAACGGATAATGTGTCCAGCTATACTCAACTCGATCCGAATATGGGATTCGTGTAATACCAAATACGGGCTGGCATCGTCCCCCTCCCCTTTGACCCCAATTCTTAGAAACAGAGAGTTTTTGCCTGGCATGGCCCCCAGAGATTTTCGTAACATAGAAAGAACCGGACTACAGCGGCTCCACTAGCTCTATTAAAATGGAGAGGTCGTGCAATTTGCAGATCTCCAATTAGGTAATCATCTAATCCCTGCGGACTTCTTTAGATATGTTCAAATTCGTGATTTCGCTAGAAAACCACACATTAAAACAGCAGCCTTGGGTAGGCCAACCTTCTACGAGAGGTTATGTCTGGACGGGGCAGCCCCCAAGGGTATGATCACGCTTTTATATGCCCACCTTAGTGCAGAAAATGGAGAATGGGGAAGACTGACATACACTGACCAATGGGAGACTGACCTTGGGGAAATTCTGGAGGGAGTCGAGTGGCAGTCGAGATATGGGAGGCGAATGCTACATTTTCAATCTGTGTTACTCTCCAAGAGCAGGCATGGAAAACTATGTTTAGGTGGTACACTACCCCTGTTAAACTATACAGAATGCACAAACTGGAGACTGACGATTGCTGGAGGGGTTGTGGAGCCCGAGAAACATACATCCACATGTGGTGGGAATGCCCGAAGTTACGTAGTTTCTGGAGGTCCCTGGAGGATCAGTTAAAACAGACGTCCGACAGACCCCTCGGTATGGACCCGTGGATATACCTGTTGAATAGATCTCTGGACGGATGGACCAAAAGGGAACAGAAATTAGTACATAAGATAACTCTGTGCGCCGTGCAATAGCGACCGCTTGGCTCTCACCTGAGGGCCCAGAATTCCCAGGGGTTATTTCCAGGATCAGAGAATGTAGAATTATGGATGACTTCACGGCGAGGGTGAGAGGAACTTTGGTGGCATTTCAAAAAACTTGGGAACCATGGGACAATAGTATAGTGGGCTCAAATGGAGACTGACAAGGCCCTGTCTTCAGGGATGCGACCCTAAATAGAAAGATCCCTCCTAGAGGGGACATAATTGTCACGCAGTGGCTGTGGAGTCCCCACCCTCCCCCCAACCCCTGTCAGGGTATTTATATCGGCAGACATCTTGTGCTATGATAGAAATTAAAAGTGTATATGCTGAGTCACTCTAAACAGAGCAGACTCCATTTTGTTATTTTCAAGTTAACAAAAGACACAAGATTTCTATCTGTAAAACTAACCACTTTCCCAGAGCTAAAGGAATGCATAGTATATACAAACCAAGTGATAAGGAGAACGGGGGTTGGATGGACTGTCTAAAATGTTAATGGAATAGATGCAATTCTAAACCCAGACATTTGTGACAGAGAAGATTAAATAATTTAATTTTACTTTCTAAATTTTATAAGGTACCATTGTACGGAAGAGGTGAAACTTAGTTTACGAACTGTCATATCAGAAATTATAGCAGAAATTGCGGACACTAAGTCTGGACAAAACTAAGAGAAAACCCTTTGAAGTGAAAGAAAACGTAAGTTATGGCTATTATAAAGATAAGCCAAAATGACGTCAAAATAGCCACCAGGAAAAGTTAACTCTTTCCTGGATAGGTATGTCTAGTGGGACAAGACTGCCCTCTATAGAACAAATAATAAATTGCGATCCCTAGATAACCACACCCCCGGTGTTTCTATTGGGTTATCAACTAATGACGTACAGAGAGTCTGGCCCTTTAAAAGTTAAGACAAAGGGAGTTGAGAGAAGGAGACAGAAGAGGAATTGGAAGTTTGGGGACTCCAACTCGGACATGCAGAGAAACCCAGGAAAACATCTGAGACTAACACTCTACTCTTAAAACTCTAACACTTAGAATTTTACTGACTTTCTAACCAACACCACCTTTCACCATAACTCATGCACCTACAGACATCCAAATAAGTTCCTGAGACTATCTACCAATCGGATGAAATATCTACTTAACTGGTAATTATACTGGTTTAATTTAATTAATTAAATTAATTAAAATTTACTAATAGCATGATATATGACTGGATAAATCACGGTCAGATTTCCATAGTAAGAAATCTTAGTTAACTAAAGAATATATAGTTATAAACATTCCATTCTGCAGGTGGAATTAAGAATAATTATATATTAATGTGATATTATCACGTGTTAGCATACCGCTGTTTTTATCCAGGTGTATTGATTTGTTCTAAAATAAGATAAGATATCTTTTAGACAAATTAAATTCTGCTTATTAACATGGTAGATTCTCTTATTGGATGGTTCCAGGAAATGACTAATGAACTGGTTTAAATGTTATTTTATTTAAAATTACATAAGAATAGATCTTAATTACCTAGGAAATCTAGCCAGCATTGAAAGGGTTATTCAGTTGATCTAACTGTTAGCCAGGGTTTTATGGCCCTTCGCTGTGAAAAGCTTTGTTTTCTATGTCCGTAAGGATACCTCATAAATCGTGTAAGTCTTGACAGAAAATGCTGTTTAGCCATTGAAACATGTATAGCCATTCCTTTGTATTGCATACCATTTTATACTGGATATTCATTGATTATTATCACGCATGTTACATATTATTATTAATTAATTTGTTATTATAAAATAAAATCTATTTTTATAACATTGTGATTTTATTTATATGAAATACTTTTCACTTAACACGATAACGATCTTTGGGATCTGAGAATTGAATTAGTGGGCAATTCTCACTGTTTACTATTATTATCCCATAAATATTCCCACACCCCCTCTCCCTATTCTTTCCTCCTTACGCTTTACTTATTACATATCTTCTTTCTATTTCCTTTCTTTAGAATTTCACTTCTTTTTCAGTCTCATCTGTTTTCGATCCTTTTTCTTCCTTTTTGGCCCTTCTCCTGTTTTTTTCGGGAACAAGGCCCCATTTATCCTTTTTTTTCTTTTTTTCTCTTTTTGTTTTTGCTTTGTTTTTTCCCAGGCATGATCACACGGTTGGTGGAATAATGTAGCACATGTACGAGAATGGTTCTTGAATAAAATGGTTACTTGTATTGCCTACCTGCCTGTACTTGTTTAAAATAAAATTCCTCAGTAGACGGTGGGTGCCAATGGTTTGTTAAGGAATGGGCATGTAACGCATATGTTGAATTGTATTCTGTTACAAAGACTTGTATTTCAATTGGCTTCTGGGTAAGCCCAAAAGTGAATGTACACCTGTTACGTTTATTGAATAAAAAATAAAGAATATAAAAAAAAAAGAAACACATAGGGAACAGTGCAACAAACAAAGGGAATCATAAAACATATGGACAATAGTCATATTTGTGCACAATCTCCAGTTTTGTCACAGGACACAAATAGTGTTTGCAAATGCCATATATCCCAGGGCCATAGTCATGTGGCAGGAGGCTGGCAATCAGTCCTCTCCAATGCCCAGTGGCAAATGGCAGTTTGTCACACTGGGCGAACAGGCCTGGTCCCCACTACTGCCTTCCTGGGCATTGGGCCCTCAGAGAACATCCCTCAAACCACAACCCCACTCCTAGGTGAAACATCCAAGCCAGGATCTCCTTTAGTGGCTTCTTGAGGAGCCAAAACCTGGGGCACGGGTGGCAGGCTCATGCAGAGCCCAGCTGGCGGAGTGGCACCCACCAGACCTACCTTTATGTCGGGACTCCACAAACACTACACCCCAGCCGGAAGCAGGAAGGAGCCGAGTCCAGAGAACACATCGGGCTTGCCTGTGTGCCCTTACCAGCGGTCTCGAAGGGGGAGGGGGGGGAGGGCTGTGTGGCCTTTCCTATTGGGCCTCAGTGGTCTTTCATAGTCTAAGCTTCACTTGTTTATTGCGTTTTATTTGTCTCATTTTGCTTTTTGCTAACTCTCACTACAGGCACTGTACAGTATTTGTAACCTTACGCAAAAACCTATGATGATAGTTTGTTACACACAAACGACTTCCACTTGGGCTGAGCACTCACCTGCCTCTGCATGGCGTGTTAATTATTGCTAACTACTATATCTCGAGACCCAATTATCCACTGGCTATTGCAGCTCAATCTTAGCCCAGTGACAGCTAGCACAAGTTCTCACAAGAACGTAGATAGGAATGCCCAACCTGCATGAACCTATATTCCATGCCTAAGAGTATAACTCAATGTTTAGTATAAAAGTGCCACAACCATCAGCTTTCCTCTTAATTCATAAAATGAGGTTGCTCCACTAGTGAGTTTCTGACAAAATGTATAACACGTTCAGCACACATTTTGCTATTTAGCTGACTTATTGGTCGTTATGTGCTTATCGACTTATTCCTGAACATAGCTTGACTACATTATTTTATGTCCTACTCCTGCTATGTTTGCTAATATAACTCCACCTCTTCTTTCTGTAATGTCCATATGTTGCCTTAATAAAACTAGCAAACTACGACTAAAACGTAAATGAAAATTTACACTGCATAGAAGGGCTGTGGAAGGGGCAAAAGAGACAGACCAGGGCTTAGGAGAGAGACACATAGAATGGCAGGGAGGACACAAAGACACACAGAGGGGCTGGGAAAGGGGCAAAAGAAACAGACCAGGGCTTAGCAGGGAGGACACAAAGACACACAGAGGGGCTGGGGAAGGGGCAAAAGAGACAGAGGCTTTAACTAAAGCCATTAGATTTTAGTCGAGTCGACTAAAATCTACTGGAGATTTAGTCGACTAAAACTAGACTAAAACTAAAACAATTCACATGACTAAAATACGACTAAAACTAAAATGGCATTTTAGTCAAAAGACTAAGACTAAACCTGAATTAACAGCGGTCACCAAGAAGAAGTTCATTTTAAGGCTCTGGAGTTACTTCATTGCCAAGATATAAAGATGATAGTAGTGACTCTCTGTTATGCTACAAGGGGTTTTAGAATTGGAACTCAACTGCAGCTTGTAGAACTCCTTAAATATAATAGCAAGAAAGTGGAGAATTGTTAAGGATACTGTAGCTTTAAAGCAAAGTGGTGGTTGCAGGCAGTTAGTGAAGAAAGCGAAGTCTTAATGAATGCAATAATATTTTAGTAACTGCGGATTATAGCATGCAAATAACAATGCATTAGGAAGTAACTGAAGGTTATATCAAGCAAGAAACACTTCATTAGTAATTAAATCTTCAGAGGTGGAAGTGAATAGTATACTTAAGATTGATGGGAGTTGTCCTCCATGGGAATAGCATGCAAGTAACAATTCATTAGGAAGTAACTGAAGATTATAGCAAGCAAGAAACAGTTCATTAGTAAGTCTTCAGAGATCAGAGTAATTAGTATACTTAAGATTGATGGGAGTTGTCCTCCATAGGAATGTATAGCTTGAATCCAAGGGATGAATGATATACACAGTCCGGTTTTCAGGAGACTCCAATACAATCCGTGGTCAGAGGTACAGAGAAGGCAAAATCCTTTATAATAGTCAAAGGTTTGGTAACTTTGTGAACGAAGAGCTTAACCGGCGTTTGAATGCGGAAGTAGGTCCGAGAATCACCAAGCCGTTTGAATATGGCGTGGTCTCTCTATATAGCGTAAGAGAGCCGCGTCAGAAAGGCGACGGGGCCGGCTCCGCATACCGGAAACGCCAGAACAGAGCCGGAACAGATACGGCCTGACACTCTCAAGCGACTTTGACTTATGTTGAAGACTTAAAATTATTCCCCGATCTGAGCCATCATTTTCCAGATCTCAGAATAACAGGCCTGCTGGATCTGAACCACATGAAAGAGTCATAGACATTTTCCATTGGTAGGTCATTACTTCAAGAACCTAATGATAGCTGCTATTTTTCACCTGGTTTCCTTTATCTGTAACACCTACCTTAATTTTTATAACTTTGTATTGTGGCCCAAGAAGCCTTCTTTCATAATTGGTAAATACAAGCAACCCAGTTCAGGGGTCAGTCCCAGTTACAAGTTAGCTACAGTGTCCCAATAAGTTGTGGTTTTGACAGGAGGTGCCCAGAGACTAATCTTTGGGAGCACGGGCCCTAACTGCGGGAGAGCCGCGGCACTGCTATCATATGCAGGGTGAGACACAAAGAGGGAACCCCAGGTAAGTGGGATCGTGCCAGTATGCCAAATGAGTGTTGGTTTCAGGACACATTACTGTGCTATTCATGTCATGTTTTATTTGCTAAGACCACCATTTTGCAGTAATATTGAGGGAGGATGAGGGGGGGGGGGCAGGAGGAGGGGGCAATGTATGTTAGTTTTTCACTCTGCTAATAGTAATTATTATTATTTCTAAAGCGCCAACAGTTTCCGTAGCCATGTACAATGGGGGGGTATTTGCAGGAGGAGGGGGCAATGTATGTTAGTTTTTCACTCTGCTAATAGTAATTATTATTATTTCTAAAGCGCCAACAGTTTCCGTAGCCATGTACAATGGGTGGACTAACAGACAAGTATTTGTAACCAGACAAGTTGGACATGCAGGAACAGAGGGATTGAGGGTCCTGCCCAATGAGCTTACCTGCTAGAAGGAGTGGGGTAGAGATGTCGCGAACCGCCCGCGAACTTCTCGAGAACGGTTCGTCGCGGTTCACCACGAACCGTTCGCGGCGAACTCCGGTCAGCTGACACATCCCGGCCAATCTCCAGCAGACCCTCCCTCCCAGACCCTCCCACCTCCTGGACAGCATCCATGTTGAAGCTGCCTTCAACATGGATGCTGTCCAGGAAGTAAGAGGGTCTGGGTGGGAGGATCTGCTGGAGATTGGCCGGGATGTGTCAGCTGACCGGAGTTCGCCGCGAACCGCGACGAACCGTTCGCGAGAAGTTCGCGGACGGTTCGCGACATCTCTAGAGTGGGGTAATGTGACACAAAAGTTAAGGGTATGGTGGAAAAGTAGTAGTGATAGTGTTCATTGAGGGCTTAATGTTTTGTTTTAGTAACCGTTTCAAGAGAGGAATCAGTGCTCTTAGTGTGTAAT